ATTGATGTCTCTTTAAACACAAAAACACACTGCACGATTTGAGCATAGGAATGATTTGAAGCCTTATGATTTTTTTCCGGAAAAGAATTGCGTTAACATTTTTTGTTACTCTGAAAATCTAAGTCTAAATTTGTTTTTTTTCACATTCAAAGAGCCCCAGATAACAGATTGGTCGACATCAGAATTAAAATTACACAATTGTAAAGAACACATCCAGAATCCTGGGAAAAACCGTTAGATATGGTTCCAGAAAAACAAATTAAAAAAGAAATGCAGCTTTTGGAGCTTTTGCAGCACTGACCTAAAACTTGCATACTTGAGTGTACGGTTTATAAAGGGCTAAAAAACTGGTGAGTTCCGGAACACTTCTAAATGAAAAAGATGTGAGAGCTGATCCAGCTACATAAATGCAAGTCAAAATAATAGTTTAAAGATTTACTTGAACATTCGTTTGACAATGAAAATAAATACCACTTCTCAGGTGTGAAATAAATTGATGTTTAATTATCCGTAATTTCATTTCATGGAAACTAGATTCATTTCAAATTTTTCAATATCAGACAGAGTGGTACGAGTACCGAAATATAATTAAGATTAATGTAACACGACAAGCGAGAGTTTTCTCCGCATTAGTATAATTATAAAAAAAGCGAAATGAAAGTATTAATAATAACGCGATTAAGTAATAATTTTTCTTAATTATTATTCTAAGCCCAACCTATATTGGTATTCAGCTGAATGCATTAAACCACCAGTTTTTACTTCATGGCACGCTAAGGGACCCACGCCTAGGACCAGCTCGGACTTTAGCCGCCGCAAGGGGCAAGAAGGCCGCTCCTCCGGCATCTCATGGGAGCCGCACCTTACACTGAAGTAATTTACTTACGCTAACCCTTATCTACAGTGTCATCTTAACATCCCATTCTTTTACTTAGATATGCAAAAAAATTCATTGATCAATCAGTCATAGCTTAATGAAACGGTTAAAATGTCACAGTGGGAAACGTACGATTAAAATTAATCTCCTTGGAGGGTTCGTAATTAATATTAATTACTTAAGTCCATTATCACCGGCGATAATAAAATACATAGCCATCACGGTTTTTTTTTCTGAAACCGAGTGAAGTCCTTGATGAGTAAACCGCGTAAGGTAATAAACCTAACATCTCAAGATTTCTATCTGAGCTATCACATTAAGATACATATCGCACTTCCATGTCCCTTTAGTTAATTAAATACCTTGTTGTTAAATACAGAACTGCTTATCGCTGCTCCCAACCAAGGCGAAACTATACGTCGTCTTATTTTAGATGGAATTAGGTTCGTGCGTGAAAGGGTTGTAAGTTGAAGGTATTGCATGACGGTCGATTAGGGAAGAAACTGTAGAAAATTATTCCTACAGAATCGATGGAAAAATTAATTTCCAATGGTATAGCAACGCTAACAATGACTGGTTAGATGGGGAGTTGTCGGATATGAGAAACAGCGAATTTGTTTTCCGTGAGAAAAATTAGTAACAAATAATGTCTGGCTGAAATATACGGTTTCGATGTCAATCTAGACGGAGAGATGTAAAGTGCCAAACACAAAATGGATTTAATTCGATAGCTCTTTCCAGGAAAAAAAGGTATCTCTACTTCGAAATTGTGACGCAAACACGAAAAAGTAGCCACGGAATTTATTCTGCTCCTCAAAGTTTATCATATGCAATTGTTAGCGATTTGTTTGTCCCTCCGTTACATCGTTCGTTCGTAATCAGGACCAATCACCCATTTTAGGATGTGTCCACAAGTTTCTTTGCAAATTACGTTTGCGTTTTTATTTTGGCGCCTTTTTATGATAGATTACCTTGATAGTGCCGTAGCAAAGCATTTTGTAAAAAAAAAAACCAGACTGAGTTCACGGCGGTCTTGTGCGTGCAAATTTATACATTTTCATATCTAGTTACACCAATAGAAGTTACGGAAGGTAAGAGACTTCAACTGCGAATCCTCGAAAAAGAGATACATACCAAGGAAATATGGACGGTGGAGACGGGAAGCATCTATCGCTGAGATGAAAGCTTCAAATGTATATACATATCTCGAAAACAGCGAATGCAAAGAAATGTCTTAGATTAACACCAGGACCTAACAACATACAAGAATTTACACTTTTTCGTCGCGTGTAATATCTTGCTTTGTCCTTAAACAATATACGTGGTGGATATTTTGTCTGGAACCTTGAAGATATCTTCGAAACCACACAATTTTAAGGAAGCCTTTATGGAATCCAAAATTTAAAAAAATTTGCTACCAATCTAAATACTTTAAAATCGTAGTCATTGACGTACATCTGCAGAGTCAAGGAGAGCATATATATTTTTTTATAGCAACCACTATTTTTTATTACATATTCCTAAAGTGCACACTTTTTTGGATACAGAAACGTAAAAAATTATATCATGTACATAAAAACTAAAATGAAGAAAACTAGTTGTTTTATAATTAATGTGGCATGTTCGCTCTCCCGATCTCACACCACTTGATTTTTTTATGGAGTTTAATTTTTGTTTATAGCCGCATTGTAATTTGTTTATTTTGTTTGTTTAATTGTATAGAAATTTCGTGTATTCAGCTAAGTAATATCTCTATAAATTTGCGTAATATTTAAATAGTTTATCTCATGTTTTCCTCCGGTCGTAGATAAGAGTTATCGCAAGTGCAGACTTTTTTGTATTTTAACCAAAGAATTAGGAACTGGAATCGAAGAGCGGACAAAAGAAGAAAATGTCTTAAATAGAAGAGAGGGCGTTGTAACGTGGCTTTTGCCGTTTGCCTTTGGCCTTTTCGCCAACACCGCCGCCGTGTTTTGGCCGTTGAATGGAGTCGGGCTCACTTGTTGGAGCCGTGCTCCGAGTATTTTTCGCATGTACTAAAGACTGTCAGTTTTTGTAATTATAAAGTGCAATAGAACAAAGTTAGTTAGTGGTTTAAGAGATTTACATACGACATTTAGAGGTGATTAGCCGAATTCGGAAAAAAGTTTAAGTATTACATTGAGACTTTATTGTACCTGTTTTGATCGAGCGCTTGCAGGTGTGGTATTTATCGCTGGCACTGTCGCCACTTTTTATTACAGCACTTAACGAATAAATTTGTGTTGTATTTAAATGAACCGTTTTGCATCAATTTGAGCCCAAATTACGATCCTGGATTTTAAGAGTCTCAAGTTATTGGTTTTTGTGGGCGACTTAATTTTTTTTTAACTAACTGGACACGTGTTTTGTGGATGGAGTGGCCGTTTACCATTTCACACAGCAGTATACACCACCAACCGTTGTGGAATATTTAAAGCCACGAATTCGAGGGGAGATACAATCATTCCATAGGTAATTGGTAGGGTCCAGGATGAATTTACTTGAAGACTGGGCTATTGTCAAACAGCCAATACAAAACAATTCAAACACTTGATTGATTAACAATCTTTTTATTTAAATTCTTTCGCTTCACGCCAAGTTTTCCGTTTCTTCAATTTAAGTAGATCGCCAATCCCAGGTTTTATTTGGTCTGCTTCTGCGTCCACGCCCTTCTGGTTTCGCATCCCATGTTTTCCTTACTGGTCTTTGTTGGTTTTTCTCTGTAGAGGTTCCCACGCCAGCTGCTTATCGTCTATACATTTTAGGATCGGTTTCTTCGCGTACTGCTTTATTTCTGACACATCTTGATATTCCTGTCACTACGCTTAGGTATTTCATCTCGATTGCTTGTATCTTCATTTTACTCCTACAATTCACCGAATTTCTGATATTCCGAGAATAACCTTAACCTCAATTTAAACGTTAGGTAGGTACATTTTTTGACAAAGAAATCTAAAGTTTATGGGATGACCATGAACCTAGCAGCAAGGTCAGCAGAACACAATCAAACATATTGCATAATAAAGCTCTAATTAAGTGCCCTATTCCCGAATCAAGTGCTCCTTTTTCTTAAAAATTATTACATGTCTGGCAGGTTCATATGAACTCAGCAGAACACTACTTCAAAAACCCAAGAAAATGAAAAGTGAACTAACTATAATTAGGTGCTAATTAGGTGCCCTATTCCCGAATGAAGTGCTCCTTTTTTTAAAAATTATTACATGTTCCGCCAGGTTCATATGAACTCAGCAGAACACTACTTCAAAAACCCAAGAAAATGAAAAGTGAACTAACTATAATTAGGTGCTAATTAAGTGCCCTATTCCCGAATCAAGTGCTCCTTTTTCTTAAAAATTATTACATGTTCTGGCAGGTTCATATGAACTCAGCAGAACACTACTTCAAAAACCCAAGAAATGAAAAGTGAACTAACTATAATTATGTGCTAATTAAGAGCCCTATCCCGAATTAAATGCTCCTTTTTTATTAAATTATTACATGTTCTTCCAGGTTCACAATTTAAAAAAAGGAGCATTTAATTCGGGAATAGGACACTTAATTAGCACCTAATTAGCACCTAATTAGCACCTAATTAGCATCTAATTATAGTTAGTTCACTTTTCATTTACTTGGGTTTTTAAGGTAGAGCTCTGCTGAGTTCATATGAACCTGGCAGAACATGTAATAATTTTTTAAAAAAAGGCTCATTTGCTAGGTTAATGGACATGTGTATGGGTAAAATGGTACGTGTGAGTAAATGAGAAATTGCTTTCCTTTAACAAATAAAAGAAACCGAGAAAAAATTAGCCGTCAAATTAGATTGGATCTAGTAATTACTAAACATAATGATTATAACTTACAACATATCCCCACACTGCACGGCCAATATTACTTAAGTTGTCTGATATCTTTCGCAGAAATGAAAAAAAAACCAATACACGATATCTCACTATAAAGATAAATTTTTTAATATTGTTTTGAAACCTTCATTCACTGACTATAAATATGGGTACTAGGCAGTTAAAAGCAGAGTTTACCCGTAAAAATGATGACAGTGTTTAGTCATCCATCTTATTGTTTTTAGGACAGAGAGTAAGTATATATGACCATGGTATAAAAACAAGTTTCTGATATGCCCTTACGTTGGAATTGAAGTAAGGTCAAGTGAAGAAGTTGGCTTAGGAATGTTTGCAGTCCTGCTTATGGAATTTGATGGGTCACGCTTACATTTCTTAAGCCTGATTCAAGACCGATGACTTAATTTTTTTTGCGATAGCCATCCCAACTTATTTACTTTTACCCCATTCAATTCCAATGAAGGTACGTCTGTATGCTTGTAATACAAGTTTCAGTACCCTAAGGTTAGCATTCATAGATCCGACATGCGCACCTTTAGAGTGTTTTACATGGATGAAATGTGCATACGGATTTCAAGTAGATAATCTCGGTTGCCCCATTTGTTCCTGTAAAGGTCCATGCTCCCAAACGCCTTGCCTTCCAACTGATTATTGCTTCGTACAGAGATCCAATGTGTTAAGTCAACCCTCTGTTGAAACATGTAAGTACCTACGCAATAATGATTTGTCTATCACTAATAATTGTACCATCAGGTAAACCATATTGTCCTGTAAACAGTTTCCCATTGAAGCAAGAACATGACTTGCCAATACAGTGTGTGACGAATGTATGCCCAGAAGGATTTTGCCACAATGTGCCAGACCTGCACTCATCATACTGCTGTAAATACGTGTAATAAATAGCCCTGTCTGGTAATATTAGGTGAAGATTTGGGTTATAATAGTTTTTAAATTATGTAATTGATGTCTTACCTGTGTCTACCTGCAAATAATATAGTACTGTATCTTAACCTTCATTAATTTGAAGAGTCAAAGGGTTATTGTTTTGATATTGAGCTTTACGAATAAACCAATATTCCTGGTGGTACCTAAATTGATTTGTACTGTTATTACTACCCTCGTATCTTCTCAATTTCATACGGGGTTCGAAATTGAGTGGCGCTCAACTATTGGTAAGTGCAACGAAGGACGAAGATCAAATGCCCAGAACGATGTACCGCTATAACAGATCTCAAGCTTGTACTTTCTTATTTAACCCTTAACTAGCGGCCGCAATTAAAAAAAGAAGCCCTCTTGACCATGCAGAAGTATGTCACTGATCACACATTTAAAGTACATAGGTTGGTAGCAAACTGTTTAAATTTTGGATGCCATCAAAAGCTTCTTTAAAAAAACGTTGTGAAAATATATTTTTCTACTCCTATGTTGTAAACATACCCAAAATGTCACCCTGTACTGCACGTCTAAATCGTTCATTATATCATACGGTTGCATAATGAAAATTAGAACTGTTACTTAATATATATATATTACGTAACAGGTTAAAGGTCAAACGCGAAATGTTAATTTAGTAGGTTGTCAGCCCTGCCTAATGAATGAAGTAACGTCAGATTTTGTTGTTGTAGGTTATGTTTCACATTTTGTAAACTTCTTTGAACAGAATTACTCATAATTTGTTTAAACATTGCCATTTGTATAAGAATGGAGAATGGAGCCTGTATGTAATTTATTAGCCGTGCCCAATTATTTTTCAAAATCGCAATGGGCTACTCAAGAATGGTTTGAAGCTGCGTTTAGTTAATTAAGCAAACTCTGTGGCTACTATTTTGTATTTTAGAAAACTACAATAAGTACTCGACGAATTAATGGATGGTGCCAATTACGACTTGCATAGAACACGGAATAATGCACTTTAGAATACTGGGTAGTCCGATGCTTCCTTCCCGGGAAAACTCGTTAAAAGACGCAGCGTTTTGAAGGCCTTAGTATTATCGATAGTTAGGTACCTAATACATTGGCAACTACAACAATAGAAATCGTTCAAAACTGTAATGAAAAAGAGCACAAACACCACCTGAGCTAGTTAGGTAGTAATCTTCAACTTCAACACTTGTATCTTGTATCCTATTGGCTATTGCATCTATGGTGCTAAAATGAAACTCACATTGCAGTAAGGAATAGGGATGTAAAACCCTGCAATACACTTCCAATCTAAGTAAAAAGTATTTATAAAATTCTTGCTCGCTGGCGTGCATTCATGGAATATAAGTGAGGTTACGTTGTATTTTGTATTCCTTTAAATAGACCATGACATTTGACACTTGACAGTTCTAATTTTTAGTTCGAAGTTCGAATATTTAGAACCAAATCAATCGTAATCTATCAATCTTTTATCAATTATATTCAAGTCGTAGAAAAAGTATAGTACATAATTCGAGTGCTAATGCCTATTACGCACTCGATTTTATTACAACACTCGCTCGCTGCGCTCGCTCGTGTCGCAAAATACTCGTGCGAAATAGGCTTCTTAGCACACTTATTATGCAATATACTTTTTCTACTCCTATGTCGTAAACATACCCAAAATGTCACCCTGTACTGCACGTCTAAATCGTTCATTATATCATACGGTTGCATAATGAAAATTAGAACTGTTACTTAATATATATATATTACGTAACAGGTTAAAGGTCAAACGCGAAATGTTAATTTAGTAGGTTGTCAGCCCTGCCTAATGAATGAAGTAACGTCAGATTTTGTTGTTGTAGGTTATGTTTCACATTTTGTAAACTTCTTTGAACAGAATTACTCATAATTTGTTTAAACATTGCCATTTGTATAAGAATGGAGAATGGAGCCTGTATGTAATTTATTAGCCGTGCCCAATTATTTTTCAAAATCGCTACTCAAGAATGGTTTGAAGCTGCGTTTAGTTAATTAAGCAAACTCTGTGGCTACTATTTTGTATTTTAGAAAACTACAATAAGTACTCGACGAATTAATGGATGGTGCCAATTACGACTTGCATAGAACACGGAATAATGCACTTTAGAATACTGGGTAGTCCGATGCTTCCTTCCCGGGAAAACTCGTTAAAAGACGCAGCGTTTTGAAGGCCTTAGTATTATCGATAGTTAGGTACCTAATACATTGGCAACTACAACAATAGAAATCGTTCAAAACTGTAATGAAAAAGAGCACAAACACCACCTGAGCTAGTTAGGTAGTAATCTTCAACTTCAACACTTGTATCTTGTATCCTATTGGCTCTTGCATCTATGGTGCTAAAATGAAACTCACATTGCAGTAAGAAATAGGGATGTAAAAACCCTGCAATACACTTCCAATCTAAGTAAAAAGTATTTATAAAGTTCTTGCTCGCTGCCGTGCATTCATGGAATGTAAGTGAGGTTACGTTGTATTTTGTATTCCTTTTAAAAGACCATGACATTTGACACTTGACAGTTCTAATTTTTAGTTCGAATATTTAGAACCAAATCAATCATAATCTATCAATCTTTTATCAATTATATTCAAGTCGTAGAAAAAGTATAGTACATAATTCGAGTGCTAATGCCTATTACGCACTCGATTTTATTACAACACTCGCTCGCTGCGCTCGCTCGTGTCGCAAAATACTCGTGCGAAATAGGCTTCTTAGCACACTTATTATGCAATATACTATTAGTGTTTCAGATAAAATTTTCACTCCGTATAAAGAAGTATAAGAATGTATAGTATACGGATCAAGGTAGATTTCGGCATCTGTCAAATTTCAACATAGTTGCAAAATGGTCTACAAAAGAAAGTTTCGAAACTGTATTTCAATCGTCACGCCCGATTTAAAGTTTAGATTTGTAAATATAAACTTATCAATCATACGATCAGCTTAGATATATTACTATTTGAAAAGCTTGCATCTATCAAGAAACGTGCTGTTACTATATTGCAAAGTAGGTAATTTGTATTAATCTTTCTCAAATTGACTTTCGTCCAAAAATAATAGGGACGATATCGATTGCTAGTGGAAAAATGTAATTCCCTTACACAAATGTTAACCAAAACTATAAGACAATGATTATTCTTTGCTTATCTAAAACTAAAATCTAAGTCAATCCGGCACGTAGACTGAGTGCACACGAATGGATTTATTATTTAGTAAGTCATTTTTAATATTATTTGACATTAAATATAGCATTGCCTGTATACAATACCATGTCTTAATGTATAATGTATGTGAAAAGCGATAATATCACCTGTAGGACATCATTAGGAAGCAGTTTGGATAAGAATTCCATTTTACGTTTGTTGTTACAATGTCGTTCCAAATAGCGTATCTTATCTGATAACTAAATACTTAATGTAAGTAAGACTGCCCACATTTCCGTCGCCGCTTTTCCATCTTCACCCGAGACTTTTATTTAGATTACCACGCGATCGGGCACGAAAAGTTAAATCGATTAAAATGCTTGCAATTAGTTTTGATGTGTGTCAGAATGCGTACTTTTTTTTTAGCAAATATGAGTTTAGTCACGCGTTGCCTTTGCGGGTCCTGCGTTACTATCACACCCTTTTTGTCTCCAAAGACTGTATGACAAGAATAACACAAGATTCATAATTCACTTAATGTGTTTTTGCTTATTATGCCGTCCATTATTTGATGCTTGTCTACGTTGTAATATTTTAGACTTAATTATTGGGTGGCGTTTTCGTGTCTCTTTATCTTACAGGGGGTAGTTCGCTATTCCAGAAATAAAAGATTACAATCCACGAAATCATTTTGTGTCATAAACCTTTACAGAGCATTGGCTAGTGTCATTATTATGTTAAAAAAGGCATATTACACTTTTTTTTGTAAATTTTAAGCATTATTGTCTAATTCTATATTTACATAATCGGCGAATTTTAATTAACGTTGTTAAATTGAAACTTATCAAGATATCGTTAGTTAGACGACTAATAAATTTAATCACAAGCAAAGATTATTTGTTGTTTTTCACTGGAATACGTTGCGGTATAGTGCTTTTTCATTTAGCTACTTTATAAGCCCCTTTATTGTTGCTAAGCGCAGTTTCCGAAATCTATTTTATTTTCCAAATCGCCTGAGTTGTTCTATGTTTTTCTTTCTTTCTTGTCCAGTGTTTCTAGATTCTAGATTAATTAATTTTATAATTTTACTGGTTTGATCATGGTTTTTATGTTGCCATCTTAGTTCTGTAGACGCACGCCACTGTATATAATTGTTAAACATAGAATTACTGTTAGAGTTTCAAATTTTATTACATGTTTCTAAGGTGATGTGTTTATAAATAAGTGTTGTCAATATATTTAATTATAATTGACGTGTTATATTTGCTACGATATATTTCATCTTAATATTTGTTCTGCTGAGACTTCCAGTACTTTATTTATAACTCCACTAACTCTAATAATTACTTATACATTTTTAATGATTTTTAATACAATAAATGGGTTTGGCATAACTTGTAAGGAAGCACCTATTTTCCGCCTTGAAGTTTCGTACACCGTATATTTGTGGAGTCGAACAACTCTGCTGAACACCCTGTATCTAGAAGTGTTTTAAGTTGGGCGCTTGGTTAAAAAATTGTCGTGCCGAAAGTGTTTAGGAGTTGAAGATTGCAGGTAAAGGTATTTGATTTAATTTTTAGAGTTGTGTTTCAGTCGCCGCCGCTACCGTAAACAAACACTGCATTCGCCGTCTGCAACCGTTCCCGTCAAGATATTTCAATTACCTTTGCTGAGTCCGAAACAAGATCCGAAAGCTCGTGCCATTTAGAAGATTACTAATTACAGATTTTTAGAACGTGACAGGCCGCACAATTAATTAAAGAAGTTTTGATTTTTGGATGCAGATAATATAATACGCTATGTTGGCTAGAAAAACCCTCCATGAAAGGGCGGAATTTTATAAAAGAAAGTCGTTTTTTACGGTGCATCCCATTCCAGCGATGTACATTCCAGTGACGTACACCCCGGCACCGATTTCTCGGCAACAACCCATCCCGGTCGCCAATACTATCTCGTCTGTCCAAG